CCCCCCTCCTTATCTTCACCACCCCTTCCCCATGTTAGTAACAATGCTGTGTAGGTAATGAAGCCGCACTGAAGCGTGGATTCAAGACCCCTTCCCCATGTTAGTAACAATGCTGTGTAGGTAATGAAGCCGCACTGAAGCGTGGATTCAAGAAAAGATATACCTTAGTTAGGAAAAAAAAAAAAGACGCTCACGAGTCACAAGCAAGCATGAACTGATAAAACACAGACCCGAGTTCGATTTCCACTTGTCAAGATATCAAAATTCACACGGCTCTCCAACTTCAGTAGCCGTTTCTCCTTCCCACTTTCCATTGCCCGCGGCCCGAAAGAGAAGACAACTGCCTCGTCCATCAAAAAAACAAAAAAAACCTGCCTCGTCCATCCCGTGGAGGAGGTTGTTTGCTTGTTTGTTTTCGTCTTTTTTCCGTTTTTTTTTAATTATTATTACAGGTAAATCAGATAAAAACAACTCCGACTTCACCTGGGGCTGGTCACACAAAGCATCTTCCACTGGGCGACGGGGGCTGGTCACCCAAACCATCTTCCACTGGGCGACGGGGGCTGGTCACACAAACCATCTTCCACTGGGCGACGGGGGCTGGTCACACAAACCATCTTCCACTGGGCGACGGGGGCTGGTCACACAAACCATCTTCCAGTGGGCGACGGGCCCGCAGGCTTAGTTGCTACACCAGTGACCCGTGTACTGTTGAAATTTAGACTAAAGTTCAGACCCAGAAGCAATCAGATGAGTGAGCATAACTCAAGAGTCAAGACCTACCCAGGGGCCGGTCAGTGCAAAGCGATTGAGTATCCAAAGCCCATCAAGGTATCACCCTTTCTTTTCCCCCCAAAAAGTTGAAGTACCGACGTATCTGCTTATGCCCCCCCTGGCGAATGCTCTGTAGTGTGAAGTTCTGAACGTCGCTGAACACACTGTACAGTATTATTCTGATTATTCTGATTCTGAGTTGCTATTGTGAGACGGGGAGCGGGACGCTCACCTGCACAACGAAGAGCTGCCACGTTGTTGACCGTGATCTCGATGTCGAAGCCGTAGCAATAGTTAACGACGAGCAGGAACGTGGAGGCGCCTCCTGGAACCTCGTCCAGCCTCGCGAACGTCTTTCGTGATAACTCGTCGTGGACGGCTATGGCGGCGAAGTACTCCGTCTTCGAGTACAGAGGGAACTTGTGCACGTTGAATACCACGTCGCCCACCTGAACCACGAAGTCACTCTTCATACCGGCCGCTCGATTCCACGACACCTCCATGCCGCTTGGAATCACAGATGCCACCGACGATGATGGTGGCGGCGACACTGATGCCGGAAGCGATGGCGTCACAGCGCCCGTTCCATCGCCTTCGGCTTTGCCATTCTCTTTCAGGCCGGGGAATGCAAACTCCAGATCCATCGGCGATGGTGGAGCCGGCACCTCTGTCACGAGAGAGGAGCGTGACAAGTCTATGCTCTCACGTGACGCTCGAGATCGCACGGACTGTCCCATGGCGGCTGCTGTAGCTGTCACCGCCCCACCAGCCATCGTCGTTGCACGGATCGGCACGACGGACTAACGTTTCCCTTTTTCAACGACTGACGAATCCTCACCTGCTGCCCGTTGTTATAGTCGTGGAGACAAGAACTGGCGATAAAAAAAGGACAAAACAAGAGGACAAACGAGAGCTGACCCAACACGAATTCCAAATCCAAAGTGGAGCCGACTCAGCCGACGCCAAGTTGAAACAGCGAAGAGAAGGAAGAGGTCAGACAGATCGCAGGGTCACTCCTCCCCGAGTTCCCCCCCCTCTTTTTGGCTGCTTAGGTCCTGTGGAGAAAGCTTGCGCTCGACGTCGATGCACAGGCCGCGGGCTCACTTAGCCCCTGTCGCCCGCCTCATACCATGTCCGCTACTTTGACAATCTCTTAATGAAGAAGAAGCCGTCGATCTCAATCACTCACGAATTTCAAGGCAGGCAAAGGCACGGCGTGTGTTGCATGCCTGTCCACTTCTCCCTCAGCGACGGAGGGTGAAAGACTGCGAAGGATGAGAATGCGGCTTAGCGCTTGCACGAGACTGTACTGTTGGAGGCAGCTATATAAGCATTTCCTAATGATATTCCGTGTTAGGAGTGGCAATGGGTAATAAGTTAAGTACTAAGGAATAATGGGCCTCGCTGCACTACTCTCAAAATGTGCAAAACGAGAGCGAATCTTCCGCTAGATTATGGAAAGATACACCCCCATGATTTTTGTCTTTTGTGCATGTCGACAGTAGTGCAGCGATGGCCATTATGTCATGGTCGTAGTGGCAAAATGGGTAATAAACCCTTTGTCTCCACCCCACTTCAATTCAATTCCACGCTATCACATAATCGTGGCCGTTGATGCGGGAGACGTACGCCCCGGGGTGTCCTACAGGTAGTGCAGCGCAATGACCCATTGATCCCCTAAGGAAGGTGAAGGTATGGCGCTACTTTGGGCCTACCGCAGTTGCACTACTTGCCATCGGCCATTACTTTGAATGAATGCACATGGAAAGGAACCTGTCCAGATGCATTCCAAGTGTTGGCGGATGGCGAGCAGTGCAACTACGGTGGGCCCTATATCGGATCTACCGCTACGGTTCTCGGGCCATTGAGCAGCCAGCTGAGCAAACTCGGGGGTCGACTTGACAAGAGAGCGGCAGACTCACCGGACCGCATTTCAATTTGAAAATTGAAAATTGAAAATTGAAAATTGAAAATTGAAAATTGAAAATTTGAAGTTGTTTGTCTGTTTGTCTATCCATGCTCGCGTCCTGAGATCCCTTCATTGGGCCTCGCTTCACTACATGCCACATGGCACTTTACACGCACTTGGGCGCTTTCTGGAACCAATACATTTCAAATGTTGAACTCGTCTGAACGCACCTGGTCCCGAAAGCCTCAGAATGCATGTGAAGACTTCCGCAGTGCAGCGAAGCCAATTGCATGCTAAGCCGTCATGTCATGCTAGCTCACCTTCTCTATACCGCTCCAGCCTTCGCGGGAACCGATCGCTCTAGCGAAAGGACAGGTCACTCAGGGAATTCCGTCCCGTGCCGTTCCGTTCCGTTCCGTTCCGTTACTACGGTCGTAGCGCTGCGGAGTGAGTTACAAATGTCCAACCGACGCCTTTTCTCGCTGGAGATTCGAGGTCATTATCTCTGTAGATGATATAGCGCCTCGCCACACGGCACACACACACACAGAAACAAAAAAAAAAAAACGAAAACGAAACGAGGGCAGCTGCACACACAAAAAAAAAAAAAAAAAAGGTGAAATTGAGAGAAAAACATAGCTTTTGGAAAAAAAAAAAGAAAAAGGCCGAAAAATACAGCCGTTACTATTTATAGCAAACCGACGATCCTCACTTTTTTTTTTTTTTTTTTTTTTTTTTTTTGGTCCTGAACATTTTCTACCTGAAGATGCATTCGTTTTTCGTTTTGTGTGGCGTGCGGCGACGCCCATAGACGGTACGAGCGTGATCACCGTCCCGGAATGACGTGGCACAATTGGATCGTCGGGGTCAGGGTCCGGAATGCCTTGGGCACACGACGTTATGGCACTGTTGCTGGACCGTGGGATGGAGTCCATCGATGGATGTCTTCGTGTGAGCGAAGCAGCACGGGCTGGTTCGTGCCAAGCCGGCATGCACTTCTCTTTTTTTTTTTTTTTTTTTTTTTTTGTGTGTGTGTGTGTGTGTGTGTGTCATGCACTTCTGGCAGTCCTTTCGTTTGCAGAAAAACTCGACCCAACGAGGCGAAGTGGGCCAGCTGCTCGAGCTTCAGGCCTATTCCGGTACATGGTCCGTGGTAAGGGCCAGTCGTTGGTATCTAGCGAGTACCGGTTGGGTGCTTGGAAGGATTCGAACTCGTCTGTTATAGGACCGGATGCTGGCTGGTACCTGTTGTGTGCGTAAGACGATATGAACCTGTTCGCCTTTAGGACTGTATGATGACTCTGGATATTACCGGACGTGAATGTATGTGGACGCGAAATTGTTTGTGTAGGGAGATTTCGATASGCTGGGTAATGATGACTGTGAGTTAGGAGTCCTCTCRAAATATCCCCTTTGGAAGCTACCGGTGACTTGRTCTGAATGCATTTGGCCCGTTTTCTGGGCGGTATTGGTCTGTAAAAAGATTTTTTGAGATGTTTCTGGTCATGACGGTTGGACTAGACGATAGGACACTCTTTTCTATAGAGAACTACGACGTAGGCAGTCGTTCCCAGGATATATAGTTGAAGATTTGTCCTAGACTACACCAAGATCCCTGATGAGCGCTGGTCACGGCGGCCAGCCGAAACCGGTAGGGTCACTCGCCGTACGTTCCGTTGCTTAATGTCTTACCTTTGCGGAACGAAGTCACGTTCGGGATTTTTTCGACTATCATCCGGGTGTCAATTTCTTCTTCTGCTTCTGTTCTTTCCTTCTTCTTCCTCTTCTTCTTTTTCTTCCTTCTTCTCGGAGTCATACTTGTGCGTCATTTTTGTCTGGTGCGCTAACGATTACTGCTATATACTTTGAAGTGTCTTACGACAACTTTTTTCCACGAAGTAACCGGGGTAGAGGTCATACTACTTCTGAGTGGCTTTGAGTGCTTGCTGTGGTATAACAGTATATCGATATGGCTATCAAGAATTATGTTCGTAACTGCTATAACTGTGGCCAGACAGGCCATATTCAGAGATTCTGCCCCCACCCTCCACGTCACTCCGTGTCTAATCCGAGCACGGCGATCGTTCCTGTGCAGACCCAACCTCTTCTAACWYTTCCGAGTAACAGTAATAATAGTAATGTTTTTTCGAATACCCAGTACAACCGAGGGGGATGGGCAGGACCGAGCAACACCAAGCGTATTGAGTCTCTTGAAGAGACGGTGGCCAAGTTGAAGGTCCGATATGATATCGACGAAGAGTGAGAGAAGAGAAAGAACGAAGAAGAAAAGTTAGCTAAACGAGAAAAGGAGGAAGAATTGCGGAGGCAGCACGACAGAACGGAACGGGAGGAGCACCTTAAGGCGATTGGAGAATAGATCAGTTCGAGGATTGAGGGAATTGATGGAGTTAGGATTATGAAAAAGAATGAGAATTGCGAGATGGAGAAATTGAGAGAGGAAGTGGAGAATTTAAAGAAGATGAAGATCGTTGCGGACCAGCATGCTATGGCGAAGATCTGTGCGCCTGAGAGCTCGGTTAGGTTGCAGCAGGAGTTCGATGAAACAAAAAGGCAGGCGCAGGAGGCCAATGAACGGCGCATCGCTGCCTTGGAGCAACAGGTTCTGACACTGAAGCGTGTGACGGAGGAAGCAGTAAGTGAAGCAGAGGGCTGGAAAGCGGAGGCACGACGTTCTGGCAATAAACGTGGAAGCATTGCCATTGGGGCTACACCTAGCCCCCAACTTCACTCTTGACCGAGGTGTGCTCCAGCAATCACCCCGCTGTGCACGAAGAAGAAAGCCGCTGAGGATTATAGTGATTTGGTCGCCAGACAGTTGGAGGAGGTCAACAGAATCAGAGAATTCAACAGGAGACGAGAAGCAGAGCAGGAGGCAGAGAGAGTCAGAGAAGAGAAAGATCGAGAGATTGAGAAACTGAAGGAGGCATTGAGTCGGGTGCAAATGGAATCTATCGGGAAGCAGAAGGTAGCTAGTACCAAGCAGCGGAGACATGCTGCAACAGACTTAAGGCAACGTCTCGAAGCGGCTACGAAAGGTGTTGATGGCTGTGTGGACAGAGGGAAGAAGGCGGCCGTTTTGACCAACGATCGGGAGGTCTTTCTGAAGGATTGCAGAAGAGAACTGAAGCCACTGAAGAGGGATGCTGTGGTTGCCATCTGTGAGAATGAAGGAATCACATATACTACCTTGGAAAAAGCCAAAGAAGAGATCGTGCAGCTACGAACTCGAAGGGCATGTGACGAAGCGCCACCTGGCAATCGGGAAGGTGTTGTGTTTGAAGATCTCACCGGTGCATCCGAAGGCCAGAGTGCAGACTTGGGTAAGTTTGATGGGGGAGAGGACAACACCTCTTAGGGTTCGTTCCCGACATGGCTTACTTTTGGAAGATGGTCAGGCACTGTTCGAATATTCGTGGATTGTCTGTGGAGCGATTAAGATGTCGTTATCTGAATTCGTTGCTATGCTTGGCAGTTATTGGTTTGACGTTGACTGGTCAAATTCCTTGGGCGAATAAGTTTGYCGGGTGTTTCTCCTCCCTTCTTTCGCGTGGGTATGATTTTGATCGTTGCGATGACCCTCTGGTCTATGTGTTGATTTCTCCCTGGTGTAGGCATACTTACGTTGGTAGTACGACTAGAGAGGTGCACACACGATGGAATGAGCACGTGTACAGAGTGTGCAATCCCTCCCTAATTAGCAAGGGTGACCGTAGTGAGAAGCTTTATTGTTGGCTGAGAAGGTGTGGAGTAAATCGGTATGTAGCGATTCCAATTTATGAATGCACCAGTGAAGATTTGTTGAGTGTTGAGAAGTTTTTCATTCCATCGAGTGGGTCATCTTTGAATGTTCGGGACAGGGCTTGTAGATCGAAACGCTGTAGAAAGGGASTTCGTGAACGTTTGAAAGAGAAGAAGAAACGGTGTCGGCACCAAGACGACGTGGATGGACAGAAACGTTTCTCTATGTTGGAGTTTCAGTCAAGCATCGGTGTGGTTTCCTTCAGTTTACTTTCAATTTTGAATAAGTGCAAAGATCGAGGAATTGACAGCTGCGTCATCGTTTGCAAAGGTGGAAATGGGTTGGTTGATAGGTGGGATCTTGTTAAACATCTGTTTGGGGCATTTGTAGTCTCATGCGGGTTTGGGACCAGGCAGTTGAGGAAATGTCAGGAGTGGTTATCCAACGGAGTCATGCTTGTTTTTGAGAATATTGTACCTTTTATGCGGAGGTCTTTGGTCTACAAACAACCCCTGGCCAAATTACTTAGTTAGCCTGGATCTCGTAAGGAGCTTTATAGTTGGACTTTTGATAAATTAATTTTTGCATTTTCTGTTGTCCGAATCTTTCATGAGAAACGCACTCGATTTAGGCTTCGTTGCATTTTGTCAAGGACGATTATTTCATGCTTTAATGTACATGTCCGACAGCGTTTGGTTATCCGATCTTGCGACTCCTTTCTCAAATTCTCATCTTTTTATGGGGCATATGATCACGAGTGATAATAAGAGATTGAATCATACTTTTCTACATACACCATTCAAACTGTCAAGTTGTCAATTGATGGAGAGTCTCTTACGACTCCTTCATTCATGGTCCATCAAGGTCCATCAATCGATTGATAGGGAGGGCAACTCTAAGAACTGAGCAGTGAACACCCCTCAATCACCAAATTGAATTGCCAATTGGTAGGGAGCTTTAAAAGCAGCTGTGCCGCTGCAGCCTGTTTTGGTCCCGAAAAAAAAAAAAAAAAAAAACACTCTAAAACTGCAAATGACATGATATAAGGGTTCAAAGGTGGTTTGATGTGTGGCGCGTCCTCTTCGGTTGCACCGTTTTTGCATGGCACTTTCGGAATTCCCCCAGACCCCAGGAGCAGGAGCCTGGAGGGGCTTGGGGATGTGACTTCTAACTACGGTCTTCCCCGGAACACAGCGCACCCTTATTTTGGCTGTATCTGGCCGGAAAGATAGCTTGTATACATTCGTTTTTAGGGTGCGTTATGTTCGGGGGAAGACGGTAGTGCATGACCGAAGGGGAAATAGGGCGTAGAGGTGGTTTCACTGGTTTGATGTGTGATGACTCTTGCGAGATCATCTTATGAGCAAGGGCAGGGGGGGAGGGGGGCCCACCAGGAGTAGTTTTAGGGTAAGAGGGGTGGTTAGATGTTCTCATGAGCTGGAGCATAGTAGGGAGATTGAGGCTCCCCGGTTGGGAAAGGGGTTCGGAATTTCCTGGCTGCTGAGGTGCATTTGCACCGACAGGCGCTTTGACTTAGCTATAAACTATAGTAAAAGATCATGATGGGAGGGACAGTCAATCCCCTCAAACGAGGGCAACCAATGCTTCTCTCCTTTGTATGCTCTGATTGTGGTATAGGGATGCTAAGCCCGGTTTCCAGCTTGTGCAGCTCCCCACCAATAGATTGGAGCCATCATTATGGAAAGAAGAAGAAGAACACCAAGAAAAGGTCTCAAATTATGCACATTCATCTACTTATGATATCTAGTAGATGTTTCAAGCTTCTCAATAAGCTAAGCCCGATCTGGTCAATTCGTCCTCACTAGCACCACATCCTCGGGCCATAGCACTTCCTATCCTTTCATAAGATACCCATTCCATGGACATTGGACACCCCAGCTCTTTCCAGTTTCCTGTCGTTCAAAGTCCAGTACCCGTTAGGTTGCTCCTGATNTTTTTTTTTAAACAAATACACCCCTTTCAGTGTTAGTGCTGCTGATAAGAGCAGACAGCACTACCACCGGAGGAGAGGCTCCATCTATTGGTGGGAAGCATCACCTTTGAGGTTTAGCTGTGGTGCGTACTCACACACGGCTGTCTCTTATACACATCTAGATGTGTATAAGAGACAGCCGCCTTACTCGTTGCTATTGTCGTTCAATGAGCTAATCGTCATCCCGTGGTCGGCAGTAGTGCCCCATTGGCCTAACACTCTGTGCAGCGACTGTCTCTTATACACATCTAGATGTGTATAAGATTTCAGTGTTAGTGCTGCTGATAAGAGCAGACAGCACTACCACCGGAGGAGAGGCTCCATCTATTGGTGGGAAGCATCACCTGCTGGAAATCGGGTCCAGCGTCCCAATACACGTGAAAAAAATGAATTTGGAATATCCTGGCTGTGAGTAAATACCCTTGACATTCCAGATTTCTGAAGTTTTCAATGCTTGGAAACTTCTTTCCTGTCCCGGAGTCCTAGACCATGCTTAACTCGCTCCTGCAATACACGTCTACTTTGCAACGTTATTCAAAGTATAAGTAACAATGAAGGTACTAAGTGAAAGGATTTCATGTTGTGTCCATGTCCTGGGTCCTGCCGTCCCGCTCCCGGATTCCCCAGCCCCAGTCCCAGAGTCCCACATGGGCCCAGTCCCAATTGGTCCCGGTAGGTCCCAGCTCGAGAGTCCTAAAAGTCTGGTGCGGTCTATGGGTCAAAGTGTCGTAGGTTTGCACGGTCCAAGAGTCAGGTCGTTAGAAGACTAGAAGTTGTAGGCCCGGTACCCGACAACGGCGACAAGAAAAGTCTGCAGTCCCAAAGTCCAATTTTGAAGTAGTATACTGGGTCCTGGGAAAGTCCGGTAAGTTCCGGAACTGGCAACTTGCAGCCAAAAGGCCATGTCTACCAGTACTGGCTTGAATCCGACAGCTGCAGACAGCGAATCGCATCTGCTGCTATTTATAGTTGCTGCAGTGCAGCATCGGGTCATTAGTCAATTCACATGTTGTGGATGCTCTGCTGTAGCACTTGTGCAACCAACGGGTCGGACAGTCAGAGTTGAGGGCAGAGACAGAGGGCGATCCGACGCCCAAGTGAGGGTAGACGAAGAAGGTAACAGCAGCCATAGCCACAACGTTAGGATAGAGGACGAAGTGCAGAAGGGACGAACCCCTGGACTTTCAAAAAAAAATAATAATAAATAAA